AATAATATAAAAAAAGATTTTTATAAGTTGTGTAACGTTAAACTACATTCTACATAGTGGGCACTGTCCCTGCTGTTACCTTTAAGTAAAAAATGCCCAGCTGATACGTAATTTTACTATAACCCCTGCAACCAACCCAACTAACCCCAACTCCAATGCATTCTGAACCGGAAACTTAGGGATCCTCCTGTAAAAATCATATAAATATAAATATAGAAATATAACAGTATATATTTTATAAATATATATATATATATATGATACGTATACGTATCAAGATTATTTTTGATAATTGCTTTTTTTGGGGTTTTGTGATTTGGCGGCAAGTATAGGTTTAATTTAGTTGGTCCATCTGAATGATGGCCGGTTTGTGCTATAATTTGATATTAGTACGTATTAGGCAGTTTGCTTGTGTAACCGTCAGAAGCTTGTTTGTCTCGCAAGAAAAAAACCTCAGGATATCACCAAACTAGGACTTATAGTGCAATGGTATTTACAGAAAAGAATTAAGGATAGTAGACAGTAGTATTATGTTTACCTCCAAGACAAAATCTGCGGGATGGCAAACCATAGCTGCTAGGAAAATTAAAAAAGCTATTAGTTTACCAATATTAATGATTCTCATTATGATTGCACTATAAAAACAAATTTTGTTTGAAGACAGGAATGCAAATAAACTCGGATGTTTTTCACATTGACATTTACATCCACTAATATCATTTATTCTGAATAGAGTTGTATCCGTTTACGTTACACAATGCTGTCCACACAGTCCGATTAACAACACATTATTGACTCAGTACGTATGCACAGTACCAAGCTTTTTTTTTCTTTATCATACTAATTAGTCTTTTACGATTATGATTTACCTTTTGAACACACGCCAAATAGGGTTGATAGACCTTTTGTTTATTGATGAATATGCCTACATCAGGAAACGATTTGTATGTTTTATTTTCTTTTAATAAAACACCAATAAAACATGTGCGCCAAGCACATCAATTAAAAGGAGAAAAAACAAACAAAATATAATAAGAGATATCGATATAATCGATAAATTTTTTTATTGCTCTCAAAATTAAATTCACTAATACTTCATTTGCATCGAAAGATTACTTATATAATTATAATGGCTCGATTTCCAAGCGTCGTAAAATTCTTTAATATTGCATCTTATCTTTTATTTGCAACTCTTGTTTCTGAACCGGTAATTTTTTCGCAAAATATAAATTTGGTTTTCCATATTAAAATTCTGACATACTTACGTTACCAGTCTTTCTACATTTTTGCATTTATCAGGAATTTAGATTTGAATATCATAATACTTACATACATCCGAACGTTTTCGTTTTCTATTTCTGGAATTTGATCCATTGGATACTTGGATTCTTTCGTAACTATCGTAATTTTCAATATAAAAATTACTTTTTAGTCATAATAACTAAATTTTTCATTTCCCTTTTTTTTTTTAGTCGTTTGTCAATTTATTGATGTGGCAAATGAAACAATAGTCGATGGAATCGGTTGGCTCTTTGTTTGCTCTGCTTTGTTAAATTCCGCTTGGCTTGTTCTTTTGGTAATTTTTTCATAAAGAAATTCCTTCGTTTTTCTCTTCTTTCATGATGTTCTTTATGAATATCAACCAATGAATTATAATATATTAATACAATATTTTTTTTTTTAAAAAAAAAAAAGGTATTCGACTATTTAATCCTAGCTTGGCTTGCAATCCTAATAGTGTGCATTCTACTATCTTTCATTTACTACAACCTCAAGTACAAATACCCTCCTCTAAGCCGTTTCGATACTTTTTTTATACATCTTCCATTTAATATATATCATGCTTGGGCAATAGTGATTTGTGTGATCAGCTTATTTGTAGCGGTTGTTCCTGATAAAGATTTGGATTCTGAATCTTCACCAGGAGTTGTTACCCAAATATGTTCAGTTATAGCTTTGGCGTTTTTGGATTTGGTGGCAATGGGGTACATTTATAAATGCAAAGGTGATTTGGTGGGTGCAGGTGTTATTGTAATAACCTTATTGGGAATTGCTTTGCAGCAGGAAGATATAATTGTACGTTGGGCGGCATTGGGTCTTGGAATTAAGACTACTATACTTATGGCTAATGATTATATTAATAAATATTGTAGGATAATTGAGGAACAGACTCCATTACTAGTATAATATTTTTTTTTGCGATAGAAAAGATTAATTAGAATAGAAAATTTTAATAGATTTAACATTTAACGTTCAATTTTTCTAAATTATTATCGCACAAATAGATTTTTTTTTTTCAAGTAGATTATTATTAAAAATTGTATTATTAATTTTAGCTTGCATATTTACATGTTCATATTTATACATACTTGTAATTTTCAACTAATAAATAGATATTCAAAAATTTTATAATTCTAGTATATATATATATTTAATATTGCTATAATTACATTATACTAAACTTTATCGTTTCATATGGATTATCCATTCTTGTCTATATTACGCGTCATTTTTAGAACCTGCCAGTAATTCATTTGACACGTGTTGTCTTATTATCCATTTTTGTTATACTTTATGCTATTACAGGTGTTGTCAGATGTCCGAAGCAGGGTTAAAACGACACATAGTAAATACCGGCCATTCAATAAGTGTCGTTTTTAATTCATATTGTATTGAAATTTTATTACTCGTAAATTTGATGTATCAAAAACGATACCTCAAAAAATGAGCAGCGGCGCAGTAAATGGCCGACGTATACTATGTTTCGTTTTAGCCAGCCAAAAATTTCATTTTTTATTGAGTTAAAAATAGTTCAGTAGTTAATAGTAAATGTAGCGGTGATCATTTGATCTAAAATAGGAGCGGACATAAAACCTAGTCTGACTACACCATTAAGTCCTCGCTACGTTTCGACTAGAATTACATATTTTCTCGATAAACAAAAAAAGTGAGAAAGCAAACTTAATTTTTGATTAAAATAGTTCGTTAGCCATTCTTTGTTATTATTATGGAGTGATCTTTTTATAAAATAATAAAACTTATATTAACAAAGAGAATAAAAGATGTTCGGCGAATGAAAGCCGATATAATGGATGTAAACCATAAGATATAAAATTTTTATTACAAGCCCCTCGCTACAAAAATATTAGAATACTACTATAAATTTAGAAGCGTGATAGACTTATTATAGGTTCGAATTAATATAAACCTCGGTTTTATCGAATTCGTAAAACAATAGATAATTGCTCTGGATTGGGTTCACAAATTCAGTAAAAGCTGACCCGTTATTAGTTTATTCGACTTAGTATTATTAATCGAGAGAAAAAATAAGTATTGTTTCGAACATTTCTAATAGAAATAAACGAACGAAGTCACGTTCAAGGTCAAAGCCAAAACTGGAGGAAACTTGGAAATAATCAGAAAAGTCATGATTTTGATTCGTGTTAATAAAGAAATAGTCATAAAATGGTTTGGACAATTATAAAAAACTAGTTTCTCAGCGTGTGGGAACTTATGGTAAAGATTTTCCGATCCTATTAAAATCCTAAAGATCACACTAGGGCAGGGTTGGCAATGGATTATGTCCAGTAAAAATTATTATATCAATGGACATCAATGGATCAATGGATATGTCGTGCCTCAGATCAATTCTTGCGTCAGATTAAAACCGGCCTAAGTTAGATTAGGGTTAGGGTAAGAATCTG